ATTTGGTCGAACAATTTGCTGCCGTCTGTGAGGACTTCTTAGCTAATGTTTTAGTTTTCTTTAGATCTACAACCAACGTGAGTCATTAACCTAACAAACCCCAAGATCTTTCTTTTTCTTTGCACGTATGGAAACCTACATGGCAGGTAACCAAGGAGAAAGGACTAAAATGACAGGTGATTTCCCTGACAACCTCATGAACGCTATGAGCTGTGAAATATTAGGCGATGACGTGACACCCACTACCTCTCCCAGGCGCAAGAGGTCGCCTCCCCCCCATTGTAGCATAACAAAACCCAATGGAAAAGGGGCCTCCACGTCCACAGGAGAAGGGAAACCAATGGTTATGAAAAAGCTCCTCGAAGCGTGGTCAGGTTGACCGATACGCTAGTAAGTGTGCTTAACAAGCCCGCTCCATGCACAACTACAGAGACCGCAAGAGCCCATATAGTGCAACGGGCAGACGAACATAGTGACCAACCAGACCCTCCAACACCAGGTATAACTCACAATGTTACTAACAATGTAGGTGATAGCATCCTCGTCGCTTTTCTAAAGAGGATGGAAGAAATAAAGAATGAAAATAAAGCGCTTAGAGATCAAATGAAAGAATACCAAGAACGAGTCGACAAGATATCGGGCGCCCCTACCAAAGAGGGATGCCAGTAGATTTATAGAGGATCAGTACATCGAGGAAGAAGCTCCGCATGCCATACCAAAGTCTTTCAAAATTCTGTAGTATCTCAGGATATACTACGGAACGACTGACCCCGAAGATCAAGTGACTCATTATGTCACCGCCGTGAAGGGCAACGACCTCACCAAGGAACAAATGTCCTATATTTTTCTGAAGAAATTTGGCGAAACCCTTGCGGGAGAAGCATTAAAAGGGTGCTCACAGCTACCAGCCCGCTCTATAGAAACTTTCAAAGAAATGGCCGATAAGTTCGTAATGGTGCATGCCGGATCCAAGAAAGCCAAGAGAAGAGTAAACGACATATTCGCCATCAAGCAGTCCTTGGGAGAGGGACTGAGAGACTTCCTCTCCTGACTCAACAAGGTAAGGATGACCCTACCAAATGTGTCCCAGGGGATGGCGGTCGCAACTTTTTAGAACGGGTTAAGTAAAGATGGTTCAAGAGTTACCAGAAAACTGCTGAGTCGGTTGATGAAATATCCTCCGACCACTTGGGATGAAATTCACAATGCTTATTCTGCCAAAGTTCGAGCAGATGATGACGACCTCAGCGGACCAACGCGACGGCTCGTCTCAATACAAGCCGAGTCCAGGAAAGAACGAAGAGATAATATAAGGAGGGATCACCTGGTCTCACGACCCAACAGGGAACGACATCAGCCATACGTCAGGGCCTCCGCCCCCGCCTTCTTTCCGCTATGATGAAGACCCATCCAGGCTAAGAACGGGGACTCACCGGAATGAGAGAGGTATGCCCCCTTATTATCTTCTCACAATTTTTGTTGTGTCATCTACATAAATAGTCTATGCCTTGGAGAAACTCGGAACGAAGGAGAAATGGCCGCTACAGATGAGGTCTGATCTGAGCACCAGAAAATTCGACGCTCTCTACGAGTTCCACCAGTAGCGCAGACACAAGATAGAAGACTACATCGCCCTTAGGCAAGAGGTTGTGAACATGCTGTAGCAGGGACACATCAAAGAGCTGCTGAGCGACAAGGGGATAAACAACTTCGCTAGGGGACGTGAACGCGAAGGCCCGCCGAAGCTACCGTTACAAGCTCACACCATTAACATGATCATCGACGGCAGTGACGAGGCCTCTATCAATAACGTTAAATTTACTGCCACTCACACGCTCAAAAGATCTATTACCCACGAACAATATGACGTACTCGAAGAAAGTATCATCTTCGACTAGTTAGATGCCGACGATTTGATTTTCCCTCACAGTGATACTCTCATCATTACTTTGCACATTTTATATACCGATGTCAAACGTATCATGGTAGACTATGGAAGTGGAGCATGCATTATCCATCCCCGAGTCCTCATCCAGATAAGACTCGAGGACAAGATAGTGTAGCGCTGCATCACTCTAACCGGTTATAATAATTCAGTTCAACGGATATCAGGAGAAATTACTCCCCCCGTCTTAGCCGACAGCATAACGTTGGAGACGACATTCCACATCATGGACCAAGCCACTGCATACAATCTCATAGTAGGACGACCATGGATACACCCCATGAGAGCCGCCCCCTCCAGCTTATACTAAGTAATTAAATTCCCAACACCTTGGGGATATTCAGCATACGGAGAGAACAACGCACGTCCCGGGAATGCTACCGCATCGCCTTAGACAGCACGACAACCCAATAGAATAAAGACAAGGAAAAAAAGGGCATAGCAATCAACATGGTCGAGGTAGACACAAGAAGGGGCCAAGGACATCATCATGGATCCCGAAACGGTTGAAGTCGCGGACTCGACCATAGAGGACCTCGATCCCGTTTACTTAGATCCCATCGACTACAGCAAAAAGGCCTACATCGACTGCAAACTTCGATAACTAGTTAAATTTAGTCAATTTTTAATAACTAATGCGAATTTGTTTGGCTTCAGCCATGCCGATATGCCGGGCATCCCCAAGGAGATCGCCACACACAAACTAAACGTCGATCCACTATACCCCTGGTAAGGCAGGTCAGATGAAAATTCAACCCTGCCATCAACGATACCGTCCACGAGGAGATAGAGAAGCTATTAGAAAATGGCTCCATTTGAGAGTCGAAATACCCCACGTGGATCACCAACGTAGTAATGGTCAAAATTTTTTTTTTCATGAAATTGTTTTCACCTTATTTTTTTCTAAAATCAGTGTTTGGCCATAAAATTTTCATTTTTCACTTGAAGATGAATTTTGAAATTTTTTAAAATTTTGAAAAACTCCAAAAAACTATTTTTCAAAATTTTCACTCAGATCACCCAAAATAATTTCAAAAATAACCCAAAATTATATTCATGTCCAAACACAACTCTAATATTCAAATACCACTTTCACTTAAATTTTTGTTTTTTACTTTTTTTCGGAATATTACAATTGTTATGTCCAAACTCCCGCTAAGTTGTACCTCGGAGTGGTTAGTCTGTGATGGTTAATTATAACAGTATTAGAGTCTTCAAGGCATGACTATCCATTCGTTACTAACTATGTCTTAATCATTATGGTTAGATGGAAATGTTGGATTAACAAGTTAAATGATGGACTGTCTTGTTTTATGCTATTTAGCATAATTGCAGAAAAAATTCTACCAACACCAAGATTAAGAAGAAATTATGACGTTGACTGGATAAAGACACAGAGAAATATACGGTGGTGATTTCGTATCGTTTGCATGGGAACAATGATGTTGCTACACTTGTATATATTATGTCTTTTCAGCTCTATAATTAATAATTACTCCTATTATTACTGTATAGTGTATTTTAAATCAAATCTTAACAAGCCCTTTCATTTTCATAACTTGCGTGAGGAGCACGTCTTGAAAGCAATCAACGAATATAAAATATCCCACAAACTAAGGGGACAAATATCTCAACAAATGTAATCTCATTGATTTCTTTTTTTTTCTTCTTTAATTGTCTTTTACTTTATGTTGGACTTTCCTTGGAGGTAATCATGAAAACAATGATGTGGTTGAATAATCTAATTAGATCTCTAACATTTAGGTTTTAGTAAAAATAATCAATGCGTCAAAAAGGAAAAGAAAATGGAAAAGAAAAGTGACTATATGTGTTAAACACCTATATATATTGACATATGAAAGAAATTTTTGCACTATTAAGTGTTGGGCTTTTAAGCTTAATTTTAAGCTTGGTGTACCTTAAAGATGATGAATGAGAAATGGAAAAAAAATAAAATATTTGAGTTTCCCTCCTTGGCAAATGGACATTGTCCCATATTGGAGAAAGAAAAGGCTGTTGATGGGTATATATACAATTGCTCTTCTTCTAGCTCTTAAAGAGTTAAGAAGAAGGCAAGCCTCGCGCCGTCGTCATCGCTCAGCTTCAGAATTAATTTTTTGGACAAAATTCCTTTCAATTAATTAATTAACAAAAATTCAATCCGGAATAACCCATGACCCGCGACCCGGTCCGGCCAGGCCCGTTTTCTTTCCCGGATTATTTTAAATCTGTTTTTCTATTTTTTTTCGCAATATTTCAACAGTGCCAAATGGTCTATAAATATGCCTTGAATCTCAGGATCTTTACTTACTAAATTTTCTGATTATCTTCTTCTGCACAATAGTTTTCAATATGTTTTGCGACTATTGAGTGGTTCGAAATTCACCAGAGTTTTTGGTACCAATACGCTGGTGAGTTATATCATTCTATCTTGGGAGGATAATATTCCAACACCTCGGGTACTTGAGGGGAATAATTTTCTTAAGGACACACTGTGCATTCAATGGGCTCGATTTATTCCAATATTATTTTTCCAGAATTTATTTCGTGCAACTGGTTCTACTAACTTTCTGTTTCTGTTTCTATTTCAGAAAGTTTAATGGTTTTTTATTGTTTATTACAGTAATACAGAGTGAATAACATTAAGTTACCTAAAACTAGAGATGGCAATGGGGTGGGGCGGGGTGAGGCAGGGCGGGGTGATTGCGGTGCAGGTTCAATCTCAACCCGTTGATATTTCAACCCGTCTCGCAATGCATAACATAATTTTTTGTTTTCAACCCGCTTCGCCCCGCCTCGCGCTGCATAACATATTTCAATCCCAATGTTTGTTAACCCGGCCCGTTATGTAAATTTTCAGATATTAATAAAAAAATAACACTGTATAGCCACTCTAAAAATAATAGCTGAAAAAATATATTTTTTTATATTTTTTGTATATAGATATATTTCTGTATGTTATATAAAAAAAATATAAATTTTATAAATTTTGTCGGCTACTGAAAATAAATAATCTCCATAGCTTATGTAAGTTTAGCTCAATTTTGAACTTTCTCATACAATATGAAATCTCTGCTCTTTTCTCCATACATTCTGAAATTTCTTATCGTTTGGGTTAGAAATTTTCCTTCGCATATTCACACAGAACTTTCCCTTTGCTATTTTTTAAGGAAATCCTCCAGCCGTCCAAAGCACATACATGTACAAAAGTTCATTTATCCAGTAGAGGATGGATTCCTCCAGAAGGTACAATATTCATTTATCTTCTTTTTTTCAATTGTTCTTCTTCAGCACGTTATTATGATAACTCAATTTCCATGTTAGAACATTGAATTCATGCACAGTATAAATATTGAATGATACGAAATAAAAGAGATGTAGCAGAGATCTAGATTCTCTCGATCCAGAATATAAGTGAAAGATGGTTTAGAAATTAAATCAAAGGTGAAGAATAATAACAGAAAGATGCTAGTGGAGCTAATATTTAAGTTTAATCTATATTTCATAATAGAGCTCATAGATTCCACAACTAAATCAACGATGAAAAGAAGTTTAAAAACGAACTAATTAAGAAGAAAATGATGCACGTGCTCCTGAATATTTAAATTTCTTGCCTTTTGGAACGGATAAGAATTGCAAAAAGTAACTTTGAGAGACACAAAAGCAAGAAACTTTTACTTCTTTTAGAAACGACTTTAGTATACTGCTTAATTATGGCCTATTCTGCAAAATTCCAGTTATCAATTTATAATTTATAAAATTATATCTGCAAGATCGTAACTAGCAAGATGAACGCAAGGTGTTTGCTTATTAGATTCTTTGTAAATGATATCCATATTTACTACGAAGCTTGTGGTGGAATGCATGGTATGAGATACTTCCACCTTTTAACTAGAGGTCTCGATATAAGTCATAAGAATGAAAGAGATCTTTTTAAGGAATATTTTCCCCTAAAATAGGCCTAACACGATGCGAATTCGACAGGGCGACTCAAACACATGCCCCCTAAGGCCAAAATTTAATATGATGCCTAAATTTTTTAAAGGAAGTTATAAGATATATTTTTATTTAAAATCTAATCTTCTAACTTTTTGAGATATAAAGTTGTTAATAATCTTTTTTATAATTGATTTTTTCTAATAATTCTTTTTCAATTGATATTATAGACGACTCATTTAATCTTTCTTGAGATATTGTTGATTCTAGATAAGATACTATTGTGATGACCCAAAAGGTTATCTTTAAATTTAACAAGTAATTTTGTGTTCTAAGACCTCGAAAAGCACTATTTATCATTCATCGACTTGCGTGCACAATCCATTTAATTTTTCAGAAAGTTTTTATATGAAAACTGATTAAAATGTGAAATAGAGCCTTAACACTCAACTAGGTTGACTTTGGTCAATATTTTGAGCAAACGGATCCGGATCAGGGTTCACAGTTCCGGTAGGTCCGTATCGTGATTTGGGACTTGGGCGTATGCCCGAAATTTAATTTAGAGGCCCCTAACTCAAGTTATGACCATTTAACGGAAACTAGAAATGAATTTCTAGATTCGCAGATTTGTCGACGGAATCCGATTCTGGAAATTTGAATAGCTCCGTTATGTCATTTATGACTTGTGTGCCAAATTTGAAGTCATTCCGGATTCATTTAACATGTTTCGGCACAAGATTTGTAAATTGAAAAGTTTGAAAATTTAAAAGTTCGAATCGAGGTGTGAATTATAATTTTGATGTTGTTTGAGGTGATTTGAGACCCTGAGTAAGTCCGTGTTATGTTTTAGAACTTGTTGGTTCTCGGATGGATTTCGGATGGTTAACGGATCAAAATTTGAACTTAAGGAAAAATTTAAAATTTTGGCCTTCTAGAGTAATCGCACATGCGGATTTTAGACCGCAGAAGCGAGTTTTTCCTCGCAGAAGCGAAAGGGAAGGGGTTGGGCAGTGTGCGCAGCTGCGGAACTTTTGTTGCATCTGCGAAGCCGCAGAAGCGGCTTCTTGTTCGCAGAAGCGGCTTCTTGTCCACAGAAGCACCCCATCCCGCAGAAGCAGCCCCAGATCCGCAAAAGCGAAAACCGCAGATGCGGTCAAGCGTCCGCAGATGCGGAAAGGCTTAGACAGAACCCATAAAATCGGAAGTTAGCTATTTTTACTCATTTGTCTCGGATTTAGGCGATTCCAAGGGGATTTTTCACGACTTTGAATTAGATAAGTGTTCTATAACCAAAAGTGATTATATTTCATAAATACATGTCTATATTCATCATTTATTTCGGATTTAGATGGAAGAAATTGGAATTTTTGTAAAACTTTCCAAAAATAAAAAATTAAGATTTGAAAATCCATTTGACATCGAAATTTGGTAATTTTTGTATGGTTGGACTCGTCTCGGAACAAGTGTTCGAATTTTGTAAGTTTTTCTGAGAGTCGAGACGTGGGTCCCACTGATAATATTTGAGATGAATTTCGAATTTTAATCTGAAAAATTAATAAATTCATATGGAATTAATTCCTACGATTTGTATTGAGTATAGTGAATTGATTATGACTAGATTTGAAGATTTCGGATACGAATTCACGAGGCAAAGGTTTATTGGATTCTTGAATTTTGTTGCAAGCGAGGTAAGTGTTGTGGTTAACCTTGACTTGAGGGAGTAGGACTTATTTGTCTATTTGCTACATGATTTAATGTGCGGGTACAATGTATAAGTGAGGTGACGAGTACTTATGCATTGTGGTTGAGTCAAAGCATGCGGGTGGAATTTGCTTATTGTGAATAATTGTCTATTTAAATAAGATATTTCTGCTTAAGTTTATTGTTGATTATTTGATCATTAGTCGTGAAACTATTATTCATTTAATTATTGTTGAATATTTTGGAAGGTGAAGTCGGTATTCTGGTATTGAATTGATTGATAAGTGTATATCCCCGCATTTAAATACTCATCCGAATTTATATTATTATTTTCCTGGTAAGGAAGAGTGTAAAAGCACGAAGGGTGATGCCATGCCATTTTAATTATTCATAATATCATTGTCATGGTAAGGAAGAGTGTAAAAGCACGAAGGGTGTTGCCGTGCCATTTGTGAGTGTAAAAGCACGAAGGATGATGCCGTGTCATTTTTAGAGAGTGTAAAAGCACGAAGGGTGGTGCCGTGCCACTTTCATATTGTCATTTGCTCATTTTATTGTTGATGAATTAATTGGCTGCTAAGTGACACTTCTCCTGCTAAAATTATTATATCATTCCCCTTAGCATGTTCCTCCCAATTGCTAAATTGTTATTTATTGTATTATTGTTACTTTGTATTTGTATATACTTGTACAGGTTGATTATGTACGTGTCTTGTCATAGCTTCATCACTACTTCATCGAGGTTAGGCTCGAAACTTACCAATACATGGGGTCGGTTGTGCTGATACTATACTCTGCACTTATTGTGCAGATTTTGGAGTTGGTCCCAGTAGCGTACCATAGACGTGCTCAGATTCAGCTATTCAGAAGAGACTTGAGGTATAACTACACAATTTTCGCAATTCTGAAGTCCCTTTCTATTTTATCTGAGTTATGTATTATCTTTCAATCAACTTGAATTTTATTCAAACCTTTATTTGTATTATCCTAGTAGTTCGTGCACTTGTGACACCAGATTCGAGGATGTATTTTGATAATTCGGTATTTATGGTCTTTCGCACTTTATTTCAGTAATTTGACTTCTATTTAATTAAATTTTCTTAAAAATAGTTAAGATTATTTTAACATTAGCTTGCCTAGCAAGTGAAATGTTAGGCGCTATCATGATCCTGAAGGTGGGAATTTTGGGTCGTGACAGTTAGTATCAGAGCACTAGGTTACATAGGTCTCACGAGTCATGAGCATGCTTAGTAGAGTCTGAAGGATCGGTACAGAGACGTCTGTACTTATCTTTCAGAGGCTATAAAATTTAGGAACAATGCCACTTCTTTCTTATTCTGTCGTGCGATCTTATTCTATCATCGATAATTGAACCATTCTATTCTTATTCTCTCGCAGATGGAGAGAACACGTAATACATCTACCGACGGACAGGGACCAGAGCCCCCGGTGGCAACTATGACCAGGGGTAGAGGTCGAGGCCGAGGTCGTGCTAGAGGCCGAGGCAGAGGCAGATCTCAGTCTAGAGCTCGAGCAACAACACTTATTGTAGAACCTCAGGTGGATCTTTAGGAGAAGGTTCCCGTTCAGACTGTATCAGTTAGACCAGTTCAGGTCCCGGAAGGATTTATAGCTACTCAAGTGCTTCAGGACGCTGTAGTCCGTTTGATGAGTCTTATGGAGGGCGTGGCCTAGAATGGTACATTTTCAGTGGAATCAGCTGTCTCATAGGCTGGGGGAGGAGCAAAAACTCCCACTACTCCCACTCCGGAGCAGATGACTCCCCAGAATCAGGCTCCAGTAGCCCCGCCAGTTGGGGTAGTTCAGCCAGTTGTTGGGGCGCAGGCCGGTGATAGGCCCACCATGTCTTTAGAGGCCTTATTGAGACTGGATAAGTTTACTAAGCTCTTTCCAGTTCACTTCAGTGGTACACCTTCTGAGGACCCACAATATTATCTTGACCGCTGCCATGAGGTACTACAGAACATGGGTATAGTGGAGACCAATGGGGCCAATTTTGCTGTATTTCAGATGACGGGTTCCTCCAAGAGGTGGTGGAGAGATTATACATTGACCAGACCTGTTGGATTGCCTGCATTGACCTGGGAACAGTTCTCACTACTATTTTTAGAGAAGTTTCTCCCTATCACATTGAGAGAGGATTACCGCAGACAATTTGAGCATCTACAGCAGGGCAGTTTTGTGGATCTAGCCCGTTATGCTCTCCTTTTACTTCCTACCGAGGGAGAGAGAGTGAGGAGGTTTATTGAGGGATTACTCACCCTATTAGGCTTCAGATGGCCAATGAGACCGGAAATGAGATTTCTTTTTAGGCGGCTACTAATGTTGCTAGGAGAATCGAGGTGGTTCTTTCACAGGAGAAAGGGCAGGNGTGAGGAGATTTATTGAGGGACTCACTCACCCTATCAGGCTTCAAATGGCCACGGAGGTCGGAAGTGAGATTTATTTTCAAGCGGCTGCTAATGTCGCGAGAAGGATCGATATTGTTCTTGCATATGAGAGAGGGATGAGGTTTGATAAGAGGCCTCATTAGTTTGGTGGTTTCAGTGGTGTCTCGTCTGGAGGCAGGGGTAATTTTGGTAGGGATCATCCTCCCAGACCGTTTCATTCAGCACTTCAGGCATCTTCCGGTGCTTCAGGGAGTCACGGCCCTATTATGCCTTACTCTGGGCAGCCAACATTTAGTGCACATTCAGCTCCTATCAGTGCACCACCACTCCAGAGTCACTACATCGGTTATTCGGCCCGCTCGGGTCAGCACTCACAACAGCCGAGGTCCTGTTATACTTGTGGTGATCCGAGGCACATTGCTAGATTCTGCCCCATGTCTCAGGGCAGCATGCAGCAACAGGGCTCTCGTGCTATGATTCCAGCACCGGTTGCTTCACCGCCTGCTCAGCCAGCTAGAGGTAGGGGTCAGGCAACTAAACGTGGAGGTCAGACCGTTAGAGGTGAAGGTCAGGCTGTTAGAGGTGGAGGCTATCCAATTAGAGACCATCCCAGGGACGCAATTTAGAGTGGTGGGGCCCAGCCCCGATTTTATGCTTTTTTCAGCTAGGCCTGAGGTCGAATCATCCGATGCCGTGATTACAGGTATTGTTCCAATTTGCCATAGAGATGCTTCAGTTCTATTTGATCCAGGATCTACTTATTCCTATGTGTTCTCTTATTTTGCTCAATATCTGGTGATTCCTCGTGATTCTCTGAGTGCTCCTGTGTATGTGTCCACTCCTATGGGAGATTCTATCATGGTAGATCATGTCTATCATTCGTGTGTGGTTACTATTGGGAGTCTTGAGACTAGTGTGGATCTTCTACTTCTTGATATGGTAGATTTTGATGTCATCTTGGGTATGGATTGGCTATCACCTTATCATGCTATATTGGATTGTCATGCCAAGACGGTGACCCTAGCCGGGGTTACCTCGATTAGAGTGGAAAGGAACTCTTGGTCATTCCACCAGTAGGGTTATTTCATATATGAAGGCTCGGCGTATGATCGAGAAGGGGTGTCTAGCTTATTTGGCTTATATTCACGATCCCAGCGCGAAAGTTCCTTCTATGGATTCAATTCTAGTTGTCCGTGAATTTACAGATGTATTTCCTACAGATCTGTCAGGGATGCCACCCGACAGAGATATTGACTTCTGTATTGATTTAGCTCCAGGCATTCTGCCCATTTCTATCCCACCATACCATATGTCCCCGCCAGAGTTGAAAGAATTGGAGGAGCAGTTACAAGACTTACTTGATCAGGGATTCATTAGACCCAATGTCTCGCCCTGAGGTGCACTAGTATTATTTGTAAAGAAGAAAGATGGTTCAATGCGAATGTGTATAGATTATCGGCAGTTGAACAAGGCTACTATCAAGAACAAGTATCCACTGTCAAGAATTGATGACTTATTCGACCAGCTTCAGGGTGCCAAGGTGTTTTCAAAGATCGACTTGAGGACTGGTTACCACCAGTTGAAGATTAGGGCATTTGATGTTCCTAAGACAGCTTTTCGAACTCGGTATGGGCATTATAAATTCCTAATGATATCATTTGGGTTGACAAATGCCCCAACAACATTTATGGATTTGATGAATCGGGTGTTCAAATCCTATTTGGATTTTTTTATGGTTGTATTCATTGATGATATCTTGATTTACTCCAGCAGTCAAGAGTAGAATGAGCAGCATCTTCGAAGTGTGCTTCAGACTTTGCAGAATAATCAGTTATATGCCAAATTTTCAAAATTTGAATTTTGGTTAGACTCAGTTGCCTTTTTGGGCTATTTTATATCGGAAGAAGGCATAAAAGTGGATCCTAAGAAGATTGAGGCTGTTCAGAATTGGCCTAGACCCATTTCAGTTATAGAGATCCGGAGTTTTTTGGGTTTGGCAGGTTATTATCGTCGATTCGTGGAGGGGTTTTCATCTATAGCAAGCCCATTGACCAGACTAACCCAGAAAGGTGTCCCATTTAGATGGTCAGACGAGTGTGAGTTGAGCTTTCAGAAGCTCAAGACTACTTTGACTACGACGCCAGTGTTGGTATTACCCACAGGTTCAGGATCTTATATGGTGTATTGTGATGCATCTCGTGTTAGGCTTGGTGCAGTACTGATGCAAGATGGCAGGGTGATTGCATATGCGTCGCAGCAGTTGAAAGTTCATGAGAAGAATTATCCTATTCATGACTTAGAATTGATAACCATTGTCGACACTTTGAAGATTTGGAGACATTACCTTTACGGTGTCTCGTGTGAAGTATTTAGTGATCATCGTAACCCGCAGTATCTGTTCAGACAAAAAGATCTTAATTTGAGGTAGAGTAGATGGTTGGAGTTGTTGAAAGATTATGATATCACTATTTTGTATCACCCCGGAAAGGCCAATGCGGTGGCTGATGCTTTGAGTAGAAAGGCTGTGAGTATGGGCAGTCTTGCGTATATTCCGGTTGGTGAGAGACCGTTAGCTGCAGATATTCAGACTTTGGCTAATCAGTTCATGAGGTTAGATGTTTCAGATCCTAGTCGGGTTTTAGCTTGCACAGTCACTCGGTCTTCTTTATATGAGCGCATCAGAGAGAGACAGTATGATGATCCTCATTTACTTGTCCTCAAGGACACGGTGCGACACGGTGATGCCAAACAGGTTGTTGTGGGGGAAGATGGAGTTCTGCGTATGCATGGTCGTAATTGTGTGCCTAATGTGGAANATTTTGTTGTTGGGCTCCCACAGACTCAGAGAAAATTCGAAACAGTTTGGGTCATTGTGGACAGGTTGACTAAGTCAGCACATTTCATTCCAGTGGCAGTTACCTATTCTTCAGAGCGGTTAGCAGAAATTTACATCCGTGAGATTGTACGCCTTCATGATGTGCCCGTGTTTATTATATCAGATCGAGGTACACAATTTACCTCACACTTTTGGAGGACTGTACAGCGTGAGTTAGGCACGCGGGTTGAGTTGAGTATAACATTTCATCCACAGATAGACGGACAGTCAGAGCGCACTGTTCAAATATTGGAGATATGCTTCGCGCATGTGTTATTGACTTTGGAAGTTCTTGGGATCAGTTCTTGTCACTTGCGGAGTTTGCTTATAATAATAGCTACCGGTCGAGCATTCAGATGGCTCCATATGAGGCATTATACGGAAGGCGGTGCCGTTCGCCAATTGGTTGGTTTGAACCGGGAAAGGCTCGGTTGTTGGGTACCGATTTGGTACAGGATGCCTTGGACAAAGTCAAAGTTATTCAGGATCGACTTCGCACAGCTCAATCTAGGCAAAAGAGTTATGCCGACCGTAAAGTTCGTAATATTGCATTCATGGTTGGAGAAAGAATATTGCTCCTGGTTTCACTTATGAAAGGTGTAATGAGGTTCGGAAATCCCCGGCAAATTGAGCCCTAGGTATATTGGGCCCTTCGAAATTCTTGAAAGGGTGGGTGAAGTAGCCTACAGGCTTGTACTACCACCTAGTTTATCAGCAGTTCATCCGGTGTTTCATGTGTCTATGCTCTAAAAATATCATGGTGATCCGTCCCATGTGTTAGATTTCAGCTCAGTTCAATTGGACAAGGATTTTACTTATGAGGAGGATCCGGTAATTATTCTAGCCTGGCAGGTCCGACAGTTGAGGTCTAAGAGTTATCCTTCAGTTCAGGTACAATGGAGAGGTCATCCAGTAGAAGCATCTACCTAGGAGTCCGAGTCGGACATGCAGAGTAAATATCCACACCTTTTCACCAGCTCAGGTACTTTTTCTAATTCCCTTCGAGGACGAACATTTGTTTAAGAGGTGGAGAATGTGATGACCCAAAAGGTCATCTTTAAATTTAATAAGTAATTCTGTGTTCTAAGACCTCAAAAGCACTAATTATCATTTTTCGACTTGCGTGCGTAGTCCGTATAATTTTTCGAAAAGTTTTTATATGAAAATTAATTAAAATGTGAAATAGAGCCTTACAACTCAACTGAGTTGACTTTGGTCAATATTTTAAGCAAACAGATCCAGATCAGTGTTTTGACAGTTCCGATAGGTCCGTATCGTGATTTGGGCGTATGCCCGTAATTTAATTTGGAGGTCCCTAGCTCAAGTTATGACCATTTAACGGAAACTAGAAATTTAAAGGCTAAAGATTTCCAAGTTTGACCACAGAGTTGACTTTTTAATATCGGGGTCGGAATCTGATTCTGAAAATATGAATAGCTCAGTTATGTCATTTATGACTTGTGTGCCAAATTTGAAGTCATTCCGGATTCATTTAACATGTTTCGGCACAAGATTTGTAAATTGAAAAGTTTGAAAACTTAAAAGTTCGAATAGAGATGTGAATTGTAATTTCGATGTTGTTTGAGGTGATTTGAGACCCCGAGTAAGTCCGTGTTATATTTTAGAACTTGTTGATATATTTGGTTGAGGTGGGTTCCGAATGGTTAACGGATCAAAATTGGGACTTAAGGAAAAATTTCAAATTTTGGCCTTCTGGTGTAATCGCACCTGCGGATTTTAGACTGCAGATGCGAGCTCGCAGAAGCGAAAGGGAAGGGGTTGGGCAGTGCGCAGGTGCGAAACTTTTGCCGCATCTACGAAGCCGCAGAAGCGGCTTCTTCTCCGCAGAAGTGCCCCATCCGGCAGAAGCGTCCCCATTTCCGCAAAAGCGGAAACCGTAGATGCGGTCAAGAGTCCGCACATGCGAAAAGGCCTGGACAGAACCCATAAAATCTGAAGTTAGCCATTTTTACTCATTTTTGAGTTTTGAGTCTCGGATTTAGGCGATTCCAAGGGGATATTTCACGACTTTGAATTGGGTAAGTGTTCTATAACCAAAAGTGATTATATTTCATAAATCCATGCCTATATTCATCATTTATTTCGGATTTAGATGGAAGAAATTAAAATTTTTGTAAAACTTTGCAAAAACAAAAAATTAGAATTTGAAAGTCCATTTGATATCGGAATTTGATAATTTTTGTATGGTTGGACTCGTCTCGGAACGTATGTTCGGATTCCGTTAGTTTTTCTGAGATTCGAGACGTGGGCCCTACTGATAATATTTGAGATGAATTTCAAATTTTAATCTGAAAAATTAGTAGATTCATATGGAATTAATTCCTACGATTTGTATTGAGTATAGTGAATTGATTATGACTAGATTTGAAGATTTCGGACACGAATTCGCGAGGCAAAGGTTTATTGGATTCTTGAATTTGGTTGCAAGCGAGGTAAGTGTTGTGGTTAACCTTGACTTGAGGGAGTAGGACTTATTTGTCTATTTGCTACATGATTTAATGTGCGGGTATAATGTATCAGTGAGGTGACGAGTACTTATGCATTGTGGTTGAGTCAAAGCATGCGGGTGGAATTTTTTTATTGTGAATAATTGTCTATTTAAATAAGATATTCCTGCTTAAGTTTATTGTTGATTATTTGATCATTAGTCGTGAAACTATTATTCATTTAATTATTGTTGAATATTTTGGAAGATAAAGTCGGTATTCTGATATTGAATTGATTGATAAGTGTATATCCCCGCATTTAAATACTCTTCCGAATTTATATTATTATTTTCATGGTAAGGAAGAGTGTAAAAGCACGAAGGGTGATGCCGTGCCATTTTAATTATTCATAATATCATTGTCATGGTAAGGAAGAGTATAAAAGCACAAAGGGTGTTGCCATGCCATTTGTGAGTGTAAAAGAACGAAGGGTGTTGCCGTGCCATTTGTGAGTATAAAAGCATGAAGGGAGATGCCATGTCATTTTCAGAGAGTGTAAAAGCATGAAGGGTGATGCCGTGTCAAATGAGAGTAAAAGTACGAAGGGTGGTGCCGTGCCACTTTCATATTATCATTTGCTCATTTTATTGTTGATGAATTAATTGGCTGCTAAGTGACACTTCTCCTGCTGAAATTATTATATCATTCCTCTTAGCATGTTCCCTCCCAATTGATAAATTGTTATTTATTGTATTATTGTTACTTTGTATTTGTATATACTTCTACAGGTTGATTATGTACGTGTCTTGTCATAGCCTTGTCACTACTTCGTCGAGGTTAGGCTCGGCACTTACCAGTACATGAGGTCGGTTGTACTGATACTATACTCTGCACTTCTTGTACAGATTTTGAACTTGGTCCCAGTAGCGTACCATAGACGTGCTCGGATTCAGCTATTCAGAAGAGACTTGAGGTATAACTGCACATCGTTCGTAGTTCTGAAGTCCCTTTCTATTTTATCTCAGTTGTGTATTATCTATCAAATAACTTGAATTTTATTCAGACCTTTATTTGTATTATCCTAGTAGTTCGTGCACTTGTGACACCAGATTCAGAGATGTATTTTGATAATTCGGTATTTATGGTCTTTCGCACTTTATTTCAGTAATTTGAATTCTATTTAATTAAATTTGCTTAAAAATAGTTAAGATTATTTTCACGTTGGCTTGTCTACCAAGTGAAATGTTAGGTGCCATCACGATCCTGAAGGTGAGAATTTTGGGTCGTGACAATTATAGAGCAATAGAAGTGTATAACTATTGGAAGATTAAAGATATTGTTGAATACTTAAACTAATAAAATCTTGGAGAAAGAATGTGAGTAAAAATAATAAGGAGAAAGCTAAAAAATATGTAGGGTTTTTCAAATATGAAGAAATTTGGAAAAATAAAGATTGACTTGAACAAATTAAGAAAAGGGAGAGTAAATTATTTACACGTTATCTAATAAAGGAACAAAAAGTCAAANATATATATATATATAAAGCACTTTCTTTCCTTTTATATTAAAAACTCTACTTCTGTATTAGAGGTACTAAATATTATTTTTTAAATACCTATAAACATATTACAACAACAACATATCAGATTATCCCACACCGTGGGGTCTTGAGAGGGTAATGTGTATGAAGACCTTACCCCTACCTTGTGAGGATAGGGAGGCTGTTTCCAATAGACCCTCGCCCCAGAAAAGCATAAGCACCACATTAATGAAAATATAGACAAGAAGGGACAGTACCAAAAAGCCATATAAAAGTAGAATAAAAATAACAAGATAGTAAGGTGATTGAGAGAAAATAACAGAAACCTACTACCAACAGAAAGCGAGACTGCATGCCAATACTACTGTTATGAACACTCTAGACTACCTACCCTACTACCCTAATCCTCGACCTCCATAACTTCCTATCAAGGGTCATGTCCTCGGTCAGTTGAAGTTGCGCCATGTCTTGCCTAATCACCTCCTCTTCTTTGGCCTACCTTTACCTCTCCGTAGGCCCTCCAACGTCAACCTCTCACACTTCCTCACCGAGGCGTCTGTGCTCCTCCTCCTCCTCCTCCTCCTCCTCACATGACCAAACCACCTAAGCCGCACTTCCCGCATCTTGTCCTCAATAGGGTCCATGCCTACCTTGTCGCGAATAACTATATTTATGATCCTATATAACCTGGTGTGATCGCACATCTATCTCAACATCCTCATCTCTGGTACCTTCATCTTCTGGATATGAGCAATCTTGACTGGCCAACACTCAGCCCCATACAATATCGTTGGTCTGACCACCACTCTATAGAACTTACCCTTAAGTTTCGGTGGCACCTTCATGTCACACAAAACACCGGAAGCGAGTCCCCATTTCATCCATCCCGCCCCAATACGATGTGCGACATCTTCATCAATCTCCTCATCCCCCTCCTCCCCACCCTTAGCTCTATCACTCGCTCCCAGACTTTCATAGTATGGCTAAATAGCTTGATACTCCGATAGTTATTGCGATTTTGGATATCACCCTTGTTCTTGTATACAGGAACCATCATGCTCCTCCTCTACTCTTCGGGCATTTTCTTCATTCTAAAAATGACATTAAATATCCTAGTGAGGCATTCCAAGCCTGCCTTGCCTGCACTCTTCCAAGACTCCACCGGAATTTCATCCAGCCCGGTCGCTTTGCCCCTGCTCATCTTACGCATATCCACCTCAACTTCATCAACTTTAATTCGCCTACAATACCCAAAGTCACAATGACTCCCGGAGAGTTCCAAATCACCCAGTACAATACTTCTGTCCCTCTCCTCATTCAAGAGACTATAGAAGTAGGTCTGCCATCTCCGACGGATATGCCCTTGATCCAACAAAACTCTACCTTCTTCGTCCTTGATGCACTTCACTTGGTCCAAGTCATGCGCCTTCCTTTCTCGCGCCTTGGCTAACCTGAACAACCTCTTATCCCCACCTCTGCTCTCGAGTTCCTCATACAAACGACTAAAAGCTGCAGTCTTGGCCGCCGTAACTGCTAGTTTTGCCTCTTTCATAGCCAACTTATAATGCTCCATATTCGCTCTCTTTTCCTCCTCCTCTACACTTTCCACTAGCTTCAGATACGTTGCTTTCTTGGTTTCCACTTTTCTTTGCACCTCTCCATTCCACCACCAGTCTCCTTTTTGACCACTAGAGTAACCCTTTGAGATGCCTAATACCTCTTTCGCGGCTTCCCTAATGTACTATGCAATCATGGTCTACATAGAGCTTGCGTCCCCACTACTCCTCCAAGTCCCCATAGCCACCATCTTGACCCCCAATTCCTGCACTTTAACTTTCATCAAGGATCCCCACTTGATCTTATATTGGCTATACATCGCCCTCTTCCTTCTCTTCCTCGTAATCTCAAGGTCCATGACCAGGAGCCTATGAAGGGTCGAGAGGTTCTTACTCGGGATGACCTTGCAATCCGTGCAAAGACCTCTATCGGACTTCCTGCAGAGTAAATAATCAATCTGAGTCTCGATCACCGAACTCCGAAAGGTGACTAAGTGCTCCCTCTTCTTCGGGAAACTCGAGTTTGCTATCACCAAATCATATGCTCTAGCAAAGTCCAGCAGAGATGTTCTTCCTCGGTTTCTATCTCCAAAACCAAAGCCACCATGCACATCATCATACCCCCAAGGTGACGCTCCAATGTGGCCGTTGAAATTTTCTCCTATGTAAAGCTTCTCGGCATGCGGGATACCACACACCATCTCTTCCAAATCTTCCCAAAAATGCCTCTTGACTTCCTCATCCAAGTCTTCTTGGGGTGCGTACGCACTGATTATGTTCAAAGTAAAATCTCTCACAACTAGCTTAATAGTCATTAGCATGTCATTCACCCTCCTAACCTCCACCATTAGATCACGAAGGTCCTTATCAACCAAGATACCTCCTTCCCCCACCATCCCAGAATACCAAAGTTTGAAATTGCCCACATCTCGCACCTTATCTCTTACCCACCTAGTCTCCTATACACAAGCTATATTAATCTTCCTTTTTTCGAGAATCTTCGCTAACTCTACAGATTTTTCAGTCACAGTACCTATGTTCCAAGACCCCACTCTCCACCTAGTAGCTCCCTTAGCCCTCTTACCCCTTACCCCCTCCCCCGTGCTGACACCCCCGAGGACAAGACCTTACCCTACCATCGTTCACCAAAGCTACTATAATCTAGGAGTCACTACACATGCACTATCCCGAAAACAAGCGACAAAAATAAAATAAATTACCGAAATATAATCTACTACTAAAGGTCCCAAAACAGGTGAAGAAATAAAACAAAGGAACTAACGGAAAATATAATCTACAACTAAAGGTCAGAAAAGCAGGTGAAGAAATAAAACAAAGGAACTAACGGAAAATATAATCTACAACTAAAGGTCAGAAAAGCAGGTGAAGAAATAAAATAAAGGAACTAAAGGAACTATAATCTATAACTAAAGGATAGAAAAACAATAGAAGAAATAAAACAAAGGAACTAAAGGAACTATAATCTACAAATAAAGAATAGAAAAATAGGCGAAGAAATACAATACCAGAGCTAAAAGGGGCTATAATCTACAACTAAAGGTCAGAAAAGCAGGTGAAGAAATAAAACAAAGGAACTAAAGGAACTATAATCTATAACTAAAGGATAGAAAAACAATAGAAGAAATAAAACAAAGGAACTAAAGGAACTATAATCTACAAATAAAGAATAGAAAAATAGGCGAAGAAATACAATACCAGAGCTAAAAGGGGCTATAATCTACAACTAAAGGTCTCAAAGAAAATGTGCAAAATTAGAACAAAAATACTAGGGGATATTTCAAATAAAGATTTAAAATAAAGATGTAAACAAGTATATAACAATATAAGTAAGTAGGCAAAACTATCACTAATGCAATTAATTTTTCAATGCTAGGGCAAATACTAACTAAAGATTCAAGAACAAAATAGGCAGACAGGGAGATACAATTACGCTAAAATATCAAACTATTAAAATATCAAGACAAGAGAGGAACAATAGGACCTGGATTACAACCCTTGAAGTTAACGAAAATCCAGCCGGCAGTGATGAATTGCGACGAGCTGGAGCAATACTCTATGTAGTTCTCATTCAAATTGGCCTATAAACCTATTATTTCTTAAAAATAGACTCCCCAAATTTGGGGCCTAAGGCATAAGCCTTACCTCTTATAATATTAGAGCCGGCCTTGGAATTCGATTTAGTAGGACCTCAAAGTGGTGACTGAAAATCAGGCGGTAAACCAAAAAACGCTATCCATATTTAGCGGTGAAACTTGGTAAATTGAGTACTACCAACTTTAGCGTTACCATGAAATTTGCTTTAGAAGAGCACTGGCAATTTCCTTTAAGCCACCACCCCAATTGAACCACTTGAACATCCAAAGAAACTACCGAGCTATTCAACGTTTACTCCACTTATATTGCAGAAAACAAAGAGTGGCAACCTGTTCTTCACAAATTCCTCAAGTCAATAAAATTACTCTCACTATTTGGTTCAGAATAACAACTCATATTTTCTTTCTCACAATCAAGAAGCTCAAAATGAGTTTGAATCATAGTAGAAGGTATCAAACAACTAGACTGCGAAAAACTGCAGTTTTGAATAAGTATTCCATTACGTGAAGTGGGTGCGTATTTTGAGCTAAAAAGATTGTGAATTGCAGCAATTGGACGGCTACATTTGGCTAAAAGATTAATTAAAATGGTTTCAGAAGTTATGGCCTAAACTGGGAATTTGTCAATGACCATTGCCCCATTTGAGGTACAATTCAATTGAATTGGACAGCCTGAAGAAAAATCAAAAGGATATTGAAGAAATTTATTGCCACAAGAATGTGTACAATTGGTTGATCCAAGAACTATATTTGATGAAATAATAAATATGAACAAACATAGAATTATTTTTGTTATAACATAGAAAGATAAATTTATTTTCACAGCACATGTGACAAGGGAAGAGCAGAAATAATAATGTATATGGGTAAAATCGAGCCCATGAGACGCCTCGGTTTCCGATGAAGTAAACAGAGCGGGAGACGTGACGGTAAGGAACCTAAATCTAGGGAAGGAGCCACTCGAGCCGGGATCCGGGCAAAATGCCTACCCTCGGGAGTATCAGGGCCATGACCCCCATGTTCAATTAGAATCCCAAAGGCCTCGGAGAGCATTACCATATAACCGAGCACGACTAACAAAAGGCCGTGATATCCGTGACCAACCGGATGTCACAGCGTGAATCTCGGTAAGTATCGGCAGAGAACCAGTGATTAGTTAAACAGATGATTTTTACCTTTTATGAAATTGTACTTAGGGTAAAACTCTCCTACTATATAAAGGGGGTCTGATTATTCATTGGACATTGTAACATGCACATCAAGGCAAGATACTCTTATTTTCTTTGTTATTCAACGTTCTTACTTTTGTTCATCGAATCATTAGTAACATGAGCCCTAGATTGAAGGCAAGCATTTCATTAAGCTGTTACTAAGTCTGGGATCACTTATCTTGATTGGTTTGACAATTTATTACGTCCTTTATCTGTTTAATCTAACACAATGTATCGTTTGTATTGAAATAACCCACGTATCCTTAAAACCACTTACAGATTTAATTGTTATCTGATTTTGAGGGTAAATAGTTTGGCGCCCACCGTGGGGCTAAGGATAATAGTGACAATTTGATAAAAATTTTCATAACACACTCTATTTTACACTTATTCTTTGAGCTTTTAATTTCAGGTCGAAACTAAAAATGTCGAACTCCCAATCTGCCCATCTGAACGTGGATGCTGAGTCCGGCCACCATGGCGAGAAAAACAACTTGGTACCCAGAAACGAGATGCCCCCAGCTGACCCCAACATAATCCAGTCGTTGATCCAATCGATGCTAACTCACACGTAGCTATCGAAGCAAACTTGCCTACTGACCCCGAAAACAGTTTTCGAGGCGGAGCCTAGTCGATAGCCCGGAATACACATGACGACGAAGGTAATGGGATAAACTTGCGCCTGATCTTCGAAATATTATAGGCTCAATAGGCAGCGATAGCCCAGTTGTAGAACCAAAGCCGCGCTCCCAGCAGAGGTGAGCCCAAACTGTCCAGGGAAAATGCCCACAGAAATGAACCGGCCATAGAAAGGCCGGGTGAAGAAGAACCCGGTACCAACCCCAAGATAATAAAGATGCTCGAGGAACTGACGAAACGGGTGGAATTAGGAGAAAAGAAAATTGAAGCCAACGACAAAAAAATGGAGACCTATAACTCCAGGGTCGATCAAATCCCGGGAGCACCATCGATACTGAAGGGCCTGGATTCCAAAAAATTTGTCAAAAAATCATTCCCTCTGAGCGCAGCTCCGAAACCGATCCCAAATAAGTTCCGTATGCCAGACATTCCGAAGTATAATGGGACAACCGATCCAAACGAACATGTGACCTCTTATACGTGCACCATCTAGGAAAACAACTTGGAAGATGATGAAATCGAATCCGTTCTGCTAAAACAGTTCAGAGAGACCTTGTCGAAAGGAGCTATGATATGGTATCGCAACTTACCCCCTAATTCTATTGACTCATTTTCTATGCTTGCAGATGTCTTTATAAAAGAGCACGCCGGGGCCTTCAAGGCCGAGACAAGGAAATCAGACCTTTTCAAGGTAAAGCAAAGAGATAACGAGATGCTCAGGGAATTTGTATCGAGGTTTCAAATGGAACAGATAGACCTGCCTCCGGTCACTGATGATTGGGCCGTTCAGGCCTTCACTCAAGGACTCAATCCCCGAAGCTCATTGGCTTCACAATAGTTGAAGCAAAATCTGATAGAATACCCGGCAGTAACTTGGGCCGGCGTCCATAACCGGTACTAATAAAAAATCAGGGTCGAAGACGATCAGCTCGGGGCCCCTTTTGGGTCCATTTATCCCGTCAGAGCTGGTGACAGATCCAAAAGAGACATTGATCGTGAACCAGGATCGAATAGACCGGTATCAACTATACAATAAAGATCGAAGGGGAAATAGGTCAGTACACAACTCTGTGAGAAGTGAAAGAAGGAGCGACCGAGATCATAATAACCAGGGACTCATGAGCAAAAGCAATTTTGACTGACCCATCGAGTCTAAGGAAGCACCAAGGTTATCGGAGTACAACTTCAATGTCGACCATGTCGCCATCGTATCAGCCATCTGACGCATCAAAGATACCAAGTGGCCTCGACTATTGTAATCTGATCTTGCCCAAATGGACCCCAACCTAATGTGTAAATATCATGACACTCACGGTCACAAAAATGAAGACTGGCGACAACTGAGAGAGGAAGTATCCCGGTTATTCAACAACAGACACCTCTTAGAGTTTCTGAGTGATCGAGTCAAAAATCACTTCAGGAATAAGGACTCTAACAAGAAGATCGAGCAAGAGGAACCTCAGCATGTTATTAACATGATCATTGGTGGGGTTGACGTCCCCCAGGGGCTGATCTTAAAGCGCACTAAAGTGTCCATTACAAGGGAAAAACAGACTCGAGATTATGTACCGTAGGGGACCATAACTTTCAATGATGAGGACGCTTAAGGCATCGTACAACCACACAACGATGCACTGGTAATATTTGTACTCATAAATAAATCTCGAGTTAAGCATGTGTTGATTTATCCAGGTAGCTCGGCTAATATCATCAGATCGAGGGTCGTGGAACACCTGGGTCTACAAGACCAAATTGTGCCTGCAGTCCGAGTTTTAAATGGCTTTAACATGGCACGTGAGACCAGTAAAGGGGAGATAACCCTATCGGTAAACACTACGGGAACCGTTCAAAAAACAAAGTTCTACGTGATCGAAGGAGATATGAGATACAATGCTCTATTCGGGAGGCCATGAATTCACAACATGAGGGTAG